TCTCTCTCTCTCTCTCTCTCTCTTCCTTCTGTATTGTGTTATGGGTTCTTATTTCCTGTTTGTCTGAACATGTACGTGTGGTCCATACAAGGATACCCTATGGATAAGATGGAAAGCGAGGTGCAATAGCACAAAATGGACAGGCTGGAAAGTGAGGCCCACATGGTGTGTCCCCCATGTGTGGATGTTGCTCGCATGTTATGAGGGACTATTATGCATATGCCTGCTGATTAGATTGGCCGCGCACAATACAGCGACAGGACATAGAGCAATACGATCTATATTGGTCAGATCCAATGAGAGTACAAATTTCTGTCCAACGCCAATGTGGTAGAGTCAGTCCAATAGGCACTGGCCATTGAGCAACCTTTTATAGGGATAAGTGAAAGGTGAGCAGGGGGAAGAGGAAAAGGAGATAGCAAAAGGATGACGAGGAAGGAAGAGGAAGGGGAGATGGCAAGAGAAAGACGACAAGGCTCACCCGTGCAGCGAGTGTGGATTTCTTAGGCTTGCCAAAATATCGTCTCCCTGTGATTTTTAAGAAGTCTTCCTGGATGTCTTGCCGGGAAAGAACCACACACAGCTTGGGCATCTTTTTCAGTGGCGGTGATGGCTCTTTCTCTCGCGCATTTCTCTCTGCAACTCTTCGCGATCGCTTTGCGACATTCACAAAGAGTGTGTCCGCCTCCATCTCCGCAGCCATGTGACCTCCCTGGCTTAGACCCCCCGCTGCTCCTGCAGCCGCACTGCTGGACCCAACCCCAGCACTTCCTGTGCCAGCGGCAGAAGCACCCCCTCCCACTCCACGCCCATTAGCCTTCAGTTGTTGAGAGTCGCAGTAGCGTGTCCTGTTACAATCAAGATGGAAAAAACGGAGAAAAAACAATCATGAGAACTGGGGATTGATTCAAGAGAGAAACACAGTTCCACAGATCCAAACATGCACTTCCCCACCCTCCGAAAAGGGAAAAAATGACCTTTTCCAGACTAGAGTGTGAGAACTGAGTACCTGGCCTGCGGCTGATTGGTACAGTACACCCATGTAACTGTCTGTAAACAGGCCGGGAGTTCAAGTCCTGACGGATGCAAGAATGTTAGCGCCTGTTTGCAATGAAACCCGTTCAACAGAAGCTTCAACCACCCATTCAAAGTAGTATGAATCAAGCCTTGATTCGATTCACATTTGATTCACAAATCAATCAATCAATGACGCAGCAAACAACTATGTGTACGGACCAGAAGAGAATGAACTGCAGGGCAACTCTTCTCTATACCTCTAACGCGTGCAAAAGGCCCCGTGTGGGGCCCAGCAGAAACCGGGCCGGAGCCGCGTGAGGCCAGCGGGTCACTCACGGGGCAGGAGAGGGTCTGGGGTGGCACTGGGGATCGAACGGCACTGACAGCTGCTGGGCGAGGGGGCGAAGTGTTGCCGGAACGCTGGCGGACGCGGCCCGTGGGCAAGGGAAGGCTGGGCCGGGTGGAAGGGGGCCGAGGGGGTCAAAGTGTGCTACTAGGGCTCTAACCCGTGCAAAGGGCTCCGTGTGGGGCCCAGCAAAAACCGGGCCGGAACGACGCGAGGCCAGTGGGACACTCACAGGGCGGGGGAGGGTCTGGGGCGGCACCGGGGATCGAACGGTGCTGACGGCCGCTGGGCGAGGGGGCGAAGTGTCGCCGGAACTCTGGCGGATGCGGCCTGCGGGCAAGGGAAAGTCGGGCCGGGTGGAAGGGGGCCGAGGGGGTCGAAGTGTGCTACTAGGGAAAATAGCTACAGCAGCGCAGCGGTGAGGTGCGCGCGCGGGGTAAGGGTTGCACGGGTTTGTGGACTGAATCTACAAATGCGGCAGTGTATATTTCCATGTTCTAGCGGAAGATTCATTCGATATGGCTCATCCTATCGATGGAAGTAGCATGAGGCCAGCCGCGAGGTTGGAGACTTACCTGTTCTCTCTCCTTCTCTCTCTCTCTCACACACACACACACAAAAAAAAAAAGGAAAAGAAAAAGTGTGGCAGTCTGTATTTCTGTTCTGGCTGAGAATTCATTCCGATTTTGCTATCCTATCGATGGAAGTAGCCTCTCTCTATCTCTCTGCCCGCATGGCTGGAAAGCAGTGTATATTTCCATATTCTAATGGAAGTTTCATTCCGATTTTGTTCATCCTATTGATGGAAGTAGCCTCTCTGTATCTCTCTGCGTGCATGGCTGGAAAACTCTCTCTCTCTCTCTCT